AATTAATTTTTTAAATAGAAAAAAGTTGAAAAAAATACTTTAAGTATAAATAATAATAATAATAATAGTAATAATAATACAAAAATTAGGTACTTGAATAAGTTAGTTAATTAATTAAAATAGTATAATAAAAATAAAAATAATAATAATAAAAATAATATAAACAATAATAATATAAACAATAAAATAATTTTAAATAACTAATCAATAAGAAATTATTAGCTAATAAACATTTGTTAAGCAAATGAACAATAAAGTACTTTATAAATAATAAATTAATTATTGAAATTTTATTATTGTTGATAATAACAATTGATTATTGATGAACATTATTATTGCTTATTGAAATATTATTCTTTTTCATTGAAAATCAACTTAATATTACAAAAAAAGTTAATTATTTGTTGTTAATAATAATGTTAAATAACAAAAATTGTTATTTAATTTTTCATTGAAAATCGACTTAATATTTCAAAGAAAGTTAATTATTTGTTGTTAATAATAATGGTATTATTAATTATTTGTTGTTAATAATAATGTTAAATAACAAAAATTGTTATTTAACTTAATTAACAACAAAATTTTACTTAATTAACAATTCTTTTGTGAAGCAACAACTTGTTAGTTGCCAAATAGATGTAAATAAAAATAAATAAAAAAAAATTATTATAATATTAAATTGCATCATAACGAAATAGTTTAAAACAAATTAACAGAGAAAATGACAATTATTTATAATCGCAAGATTCCTAATAGTAAATAAAAAAATAATTAAAACCTCTAAAGTTAAAAGAAGGGAAAAAAATGAATAAAGAAAATAAAATAAATAAACCTTATAAATAGAATAAAATGAATAAATCAAATAAATAAATAAATTAAGACGTATAATAAAATATATTAATAAAACGAAATAAATAGAATAAATAACTATATGAAAAGATCGAATAGATAAAATATAATCAATAAAATAAAATTAAATAAAATTAATTGAATTAAATTATTAAAAAAAGTATAAAATGAGTAGAATAAAATTAAACGAATAAATAAAATTAAATAAACGAACGATTTTTTTTTTATTTAATTATATTTTGTAAATATTAGCTGAAGAACAATTTTTTCAATTGTCCAAATTTACTTATATACTATATTTATACAAAATTCCGTTTCGTTCGCTTTTACGCAGTACATTGTAAAAACGAAATTTTGTTCAATGACCATTGGAAAATTTGCATTATATTGCTTTTGTAAATATTTTTAACACTCCATTCAGCGTCAATTTTTGGAGACAATGAATATAGAAACAGGTCAAAAGAGATGACAACAATAAAATTGTGAAATTCGAAATGGTGGAATTACTGTCCCGCAATAAAAAAAAGGAAAAAAAAAACTCACGGGTATTACGGTTTTGCAGGTAATACAATAAAATTTTTCACGAAAAAAAAATTTTTGTAAACGAAATTTACCTGTAACTGTAAATATCTCTGGTTTTTTGTTGTTGTTATTATTCCTGTTGTATTTCTAAATTACATTGTCATCCGTTTTGGAAATCCCGCACTAGGTCTTTTCAAAAAAAGACATTTGTTACAGTGAAAAAATTTTTTTTCCAAGTATCAAAAGATGGAAAACCGAGAATTATCTTCGCTTTTAAAGTATATTCAGAAATCAGAATGGAAATAATTTTTGAAAATTTCGAAAATTGTTTTTAAAGTTTATGAGAAGGGATTTATGATAGAAACAAATTTTTTTGACAAAAAAAATTTGGATTTAAATTTAAATTTTGGATTTATTTTGATAATATTTTTGATTAAGTTCAATACTATTTTCTATTAAAATTTATTTAAAAATTTATTTAAAGTTTAATTTAATTATAAACTATTCAATAATGAAAATAAAAAAAAAATTGCTTTCCTAATTGAAACAATTCTCTGAAATTGAACTCAATTTAATTTAACGTTTCTATATCGTTAATGAGATTTTGGCCCCCCTTTCAATCGCGCAGTTCATTCTGAAATACAATATTGAAATTTAATTTTTCCGGGAAATTATGTTGTTGGCAAACAATACTCTTCACAATAAACTCGACTATAGATAATAAAGTTATGATATGAAGGGCTCATAAACTTACAGGAATCATAGGACACGCGTGTGTTTACGACTTTCTTATGAGCGAAATTCAATTTTGCTTGAACCCCTATATTTATTGAAGGAAATAATAACGAGGAAAATAAAATTAACGAAATTATGTACACATATTTGTGAGAAGAAGAAAAAATTGAGGATTTATGTCCCTAACACCGTTTCATTATTAATTGGTACTTTTAATATTCATTCGTTACTTAATAATTTTATTATCACTCTCTTTCTCTCTCTTTCGAGGGGAACTATTGTTTATTGATTGTATTATAATAATTAGTTAATTCCGAAACTATTAATTACTTAAGGACAGAGTTTATAATTGTATAGAAGAAATTTCTTAGCCGTCGGAATATTTTTCATTATATGGTATTTCAATGAATATTTGTCATATTTTTAATTGCGAGTAAATTGTAGTTAAAATAATCCAAAATTAATGTTTTTTTTTAATTAATTTTTTCCTAAAATGGTTTTTAAATAAATTAACTTTTTCCTAAACTGGTTTTTCTACAATTTAATTTTTCCGAAGTAAAATTTTGTCTTAATTAGTTTTTCCGTAAATTAATTTTTTTCTAATTTATTTTTTTTAATTTAAAATGTAATTTAGGAAGAAATTAATATAGAAAAAAATAATTTACGGAAAAATGTAATTTAGGGAAACATTGATTAATAATTGAAACATTGTAAAATAATTTTATTTAATAATAATTTTATATTTTAATAATTAATAATTGAAACATTGAAAAATAATTTTTTTCCAAATTAATTTTTTTTCTTAATCAATTTTTTCCTAAATTACTTTTTCCGTAAATTATTTTTTCTATATTATTTTTTTCCTAAATTAGTTTCTTTCTAAATTAATTATTAACAAAGTTAGTTTTCTCCTAAACTAATTTTTTTCTAAATTACTTTTTTAACATTAAAGTTTACATAAATTATTTTACTTGAATAAAATTTTTCCCCAATTAGTTTTATCTCATATTAATTTTTTTCTTAACTTATTTTTTTCCAAAATAAGTTTTTTCCAAAATTATTTGTTATTCTTGATTAATTATTGAATCCTTCGCAATTAGCAATTTAAACTGTAAATAAGTCGAGTAATTAAGTCCTAATAGCGTTAAAGTGAAAAATCGATTTTTGAAGTAAGAATTTCTATTTTATTCCGCAAATTCGAGAAGAAAGAAATTAATTAAATTTTGAATTTAAATTTTAATTAATTATAATTAAAATTTTGCTTAATTTTAATTAACATTTTACTAAATTTTCATCTAAGATTGTATTTGACGTCACTCAATCAACTCCAAGCGGATTTAAAAGTAAAGAAGAAGAATTTTAACTCCCTAGAATCGAACTCCTATTTTAGTTTCAGAATTTAATACTCGAAGTCATTCGATACAATTTTTAAACAATGGAATCGAATTTGGCAAACAAAATACTCTCTGTAAGAAATTTTCAATAAATGGCGTTAAAGGAGTTGAAGGAGTTAAATTTTAACTCCAGACTGTGATTCCCAAAAGTGGATTCTGATTTTATTTCCAGTTTAATTGTAAATCATTCGAATTGAGTAAAAGTCTCCGTGACTCGATTGAAAATTTTCTGCTTGATTTTCCTCCTGAAAAAGTAAAATCCGCCGGAGTTAAAATTGCGGAGTTGAAATAAATTTTACTCCATTTTCTACTTCTTTTATTCTCTCTTTACAAATCAAATTTTCTATAGTAAAAATAATTCAAGAGTCGGTTAAACTTTACTTTATTTATATTCTTCTTAAAAAATTAATTCACTCGGAGTTAAAATTCCAAAGGAGTTACAAATTTTTTATTAACTTTTCTAAGTTTGCTAATTTAACTAAAATTTAACTTTACAATTCTGCTTTTCTAGACTGTGAAATAAGTCGAAAGTTTAAATTTTACTCCTTGATATTCTTCTTTAAAAAAAGTACTTCATCCGGAGTTAAAATTCCAGTGGAGTTGAAAATCCTTTATCAACTTCTCTTCTTCTTCATTTACAATAATTCAACTTTTTTATTATGTACAAAAATTCTGGAGTTGCAAAAAAACTCTTTGAGTTTTTTTCCACAAAAATACTCCAATCGGAGTTGAATTTTCACTCTCTTACAAACTTTTTTATTTATTTTACAATACAATTTTTCTATACTCCAAATTTGGAGTTGGAGTTGTAATATAAGAGTAGAAACTACAAATACAATTTTGCGGAGTGAAAATTACACTTTTTTTTGCTTTAACTCCGCTTGGAGTTGACTAAATAAGGTCGGGTAAAATCCAACCCAAAAATTAAGTCCTTACTTTCTTGTTGAACTTCCGGAATGTAATAAAATAACTCCGGATTGCATCCGGAATTAGATTTACAGTTTTTAGAGTTAAAAATCTACTCCAAACGGGAGTTGAACAGGAGTGGAGCAAAAAGAGTGCAATTTCAACTTCTTCGGAGTTATTTCGCAGTTAAATTTAGTCAAAGAGTTAATACAAGGAAAAAAAAGTTTTAATTCTCTAAATTTCACTCCCTTTGTTTCAACTCTAAGTAAACTCCAAAAATACTTAAGAACACTCAAAAATACTCAAAAATAGTCAAGAATACTCAGAAATACTAAAAAAAACGTTAAGTCGGAAATTTTATGGAAACTCATCGGGAGTTAAAGCTTGACTCCTTTTTTCTCAGTGCAATTAACTATAAATTCGAAAAGAAACAATTGAACAATAATTTTTCCTCATTCGCTCTTTTCCGGGAGTTGTGGCAAAAAATTAGTGTCCAAATGGAAAAAAATTAACAATGAAAATGCTGTTGAGAAAATAAGTAAATGTTATTAATAATTTTCAGTAGATATAATGAGCTGATTATTAAGAACCCACCTCATAAAGTGGCCGGCGGCCCGTTGATGCAAATCAAGATCAATTGTGCTGCCGTGTTTGAGACTTGCGTCTCGCCTAATTCAAAAAAAAAAAGAAATTTCCTTGTAACTTTGAGGAAATAATCACCACACTTTTGGCAAATGATAAAATTTATTATCAATTGCAAAACATTCAGAAAATAAAGTGACTACAAATCGTTATGTGTCTGCTTATATGTCACTCCACTCAAAAATTTTTCCCCCAAAAAACACTCGAGTTTTCGTCCCGAATTTTTCAAAACACTATTTTATTTACACACGTAACACACCCGAAAGTACATTTTTTCGTACAAAATAATTGATCACCAATGAAAAAAAACCAATTAATTACACTATTTTTTTTTTGTATTTGAAAAAAAAAAATTTGCAAATAAATGAATTTGGTTTTTTGTTATTGAGAGGAAGAGAAAAAAGAGAATTACACACGGCGAGGTTCTCTTCGGACAACTTAATTTGGAAGTGTACGTAAACGGTTTGTGGCACCGGTTTGTCGGTGCTGAGGTGCTCGATTCGAACCTCCCTCTATTCCCTACCCAGAGAATATGAAAGTTGGCGGGAGCGAGGTAACTGCCAATGGGAAATTCCGAGGGGCGTTGTCTTTCGAATAGCGGTGTTGCGAGGGTGCATTACGATTGGTCGGGACGATAGTGAGAGAGTCAAGTTTTGAACCTAAGGGAACGAAAAGGCGCGTTGAAATCCTAGCAAGCTCCGCGCGCACTTACCTTTACACATTTCACACTTCCACCCTGTTTATTGGTATATGTATGTGCACGTGAAATTCCCCAATGAAGCAGGAGAATACTCCCTGAAGAATTGTCTCCTAAACGACTCCATGCTGTATTTACAGCAAAGTGTTCCTGAGAATACAAAAGATAATTTTGAGGATGGAGTTGATTTTCATCATTTTTGTTGTTGTTATTGTTGTTGTTGTTCTATTTTTCTTGTGTCTACTATCTTTTCTTGTATTGTGGGTGAAAATGGAGATGTATTCACTTCCAATTGGGATTTTTTGCATTCTTTTGTACTATTTTGGAGTCAAATTGGTCGGAGTTAAATATGGGGAGTTCAACTCTGTTATCAGCATTTCTTAAGTATTCTGTACGAAAACTAATTATCATATTTAACTCCGAAAAATTTGACTCCAAAATAGTAAAAATACAAAGCAGTACAAAAGAGTGTAAAAAATCCCCAATGGGGATTTTTTTTACACTCTTTTGTACTATTTTGGAGTCAAATATGAGGATTCAACTCCGTTATCAACAATGCTTTGGCATTGTATATTAAAAACAAATTTGACTCTAAAATAGTACAAAGGGGCTTTTTGACAATTATCATATTTAACTCTGACCAATTTGACTCCAAAATAATACAAAAGAGTATAAAAAATACCATTTGGGACACTTTTGTACTATTTTGGAGTCAAATTTATTGGTCGGAGTTAAATATAAAATTGGTTTTTCGTACAAAATACCAAAAAAATGTTGATAACGGAGTTGATATTTAACTCCGACAAATTTAACTCCGAAATAGGACAAAAAAGTGTAAAAAAATCCCAATTGGGACTCTTTTGTATACTCTTTTGGAGACAAATTGGTACACTACCAATTTTTTAGTAGTGACGGAGTTGATGTATAGGAGTAAAAATTTCATTAATATTGTGTACGAAAAACTAATTTTCATATTTAACTCCGAGCAATTTGACTCCAAAATAGTACAAAAGATTTTTTACACTCTTTTGTACTATTTTGGTGTTAAATATGAGGACACAACTCCGTTATCAACATTTCTTTGGTATTGTGTACGAAAAACTAATTTTCATATATAACTCCGATAAATTTGACCCAAAAAAAGTACTAAAGAGTGTTAAGAATGATAATTTTTTGGACACCTTTGTAATATTTTGGATTTAAATTGTTCGGAGTTAAATATGAGGAGTTCTACTCCAGTTTCAACAATTTCTTTGATATTGTGTAATAAAAAACAATTTTTGTACTTAACTCCGATAAATTTGACTCCAAATTAGTCCAATTGTTATTCTTTGAACTCTTTAGTACTATTTTGGAGTCAAATTGGTCAGAGTAAAATATATAAGGAGTTTAACTACGTTATCAACATTTCTTTGGTATATTGTGTACGAAAAGCCAATTTTTATTATTAACTCAGACCAATTTGACTCCGAAATAGTACAAAAAAGTGAAAAAAAACCAATTGGGACTCTTTTGTACTCTTTTGGAGTCAAATTTGTCGGAGTTAAATATAAAAATTTGTTTTTGTACACAAGGTCGAAGAAATATTGTTAACAAAGTTGAACTCCTTATATGTTTAACTTGGACCAATTTGACTCCAAATAGTACAAAAATATTCCAAAAAAATTCCAATTGTGATTCTATGCACTCTTTAGTACTATTTTTGAGTCGAATTGTTCAGAGTTAAATATGAGGAGTTTTACTCCAGTTTTAATATTTTTTTGGTATTATGTCCAAAAAAACAATTTATGCATTTAACTCCGATAAATTTGACTCCAAAATAGTACAAAAAGTCCAAAGTTCTAACTGTAATTCTTTGCATTCTTTCGTACTATATTGGAGTTAAATTGGGCGGAGTTAAATATGAGGATTTCAACCCCATTATCAACATTTCATTGGAATTGTGTATGAATAACCAATTTTACTCCAAAATAGTACAAAAAAGTCTAAAGAATCCTAACTGTGATTCTTTACACTCTTTAGTATACTATATTGGAGTCAAATTGGTCGGAGTTAAATATAAGAGGAGTTCAACTCCATTATCAATATTTTTTTGGTATTTTGTACGAAAAGCCAATTTTTATATTTAACTCCAACCAATTTGACTCCGAAAAAAAACTCTTTTACTCTTTTTACTCTTTTACAAAAAAGAGTAAAAATACCAATTGGGACTCTTTTGTACCCTTTTAGAGTCAAATTGGTCGGAGATAAATATGAAAATTGGGTTTACGTACAGAATACCAAAAAAATGTTGATAACGGAGTTGATATTTAACTCTGACTAATTTGACTCCGAAATAGTCCCAAAAAGTGTAAAAAAATCCCTATTGGAACTCTTTTCTACTCCTGTGGAGTCAAATTGATACACTACCAATTTTTTAGTAGTGACGGAGTTGATGTATAGGAGTAACAGTTTACCTCTAAAGTTTTTACTCCTTTTGATTCAACTCCAATAAAAACTCCACCAAAATTTTATAGAATATCCCCTTGGAGTTAAAATTAAAATTTTTACTTTTTAATTTAATAAAATATAAATATTTATTGTTTTATATTTGAAGAGAGAGTATTATTTGTGAATTTAATATAAGAGTAAATTTCTACACTATTTAAAAGAGTTCTAATAAGCCGGAGTACATTAATGTACTCGAAAGCTCTCTCTCGATTACTATTTGTTTATTTTCAAATTATTACCCTCCCTAAATGAAATGGAGGTGTTGGTTACAGTCAATATATGTTAATAAAATAATAATTTTTTCTTCATGGGGCAATTCGAGATCCCTCACTCTGATAACAACAAACACTTTAATCGATAGTTTCATTACTCCCTGGTTTTGATCGCATCATTGCCATGCCGTTGCATCTTCCACGAAGATGATTAGGGTGTGACGCCTTCTATCTTCAGATTGCTGGATAATCAAATCGTTAGTTCACTGAAGAGAAGGGACGCGTTTCAATTTGATTGGCTATATCACATAATATCACAATAAAAAGTCTAATATAAACTCCCTTAACAACTTCATTATTTTATTCATACAAATTTTTACTTTTTCTCACGGAAATTATTTTTTTCAAATTGTTTATTATTTTTTAACTTTTTATTATTTTAAACTTATTTTATTTTTGACATTTTAATTTTAATATTATTTTAATACTATTTTATTATTATTTTAATACTATATTTTAATTTTATTTTAATATTATTTTAATTTTATTATTATTTTAGTTTAACTATTCGCTTAGTTTTTTCATTACTTAAATTACTTTAAAAAAAATTCTATACTTAGGTAAACTAATTATTAAAAACGCTAAAACAATTGTCGATCATTTTTATTATTTCGCGCAGAGAATAAATGAACTTTGATCGAATAAATGAATGTCTAATAAAAGGAATAAATTGCAAACAATTTTCTCATAATGAAAAAGATTATTTCCCATTAGCAACACACACTTTATGACGTAATTAATATATTATTCACTTTTATAATATAATCTTAAGTTTGCTTTTCACTTTTGAACAATTAAAATATTGAGTGTGTGTGGTGTTTCGAAAAGGCAATGAGAATGTCGCGTGGACGAGTCCAAATGACTGGAGATCCTGTTCAACAAGAACGTGGTTGTCCCTATACATATATATGGGACGAAAACGCGATTGCATTGTTAGTCGCATCATGGAACTTGTAACGTATGAATATCTAATGCTCCCCTCTACAATTAAATTCAGACAATATGTTTTGTTTCGCTCGACCCACCCTCGGTCGGTTTCTGAATGGGACTATAGGGGTTGAATTCCCCACCGCTTATCGACACGGTACTTTCTCCCTTCTGCCTTCTAATATTGAATATAGCGCGCGGTAAGTGTAAATCTCGCACTAACCCCCCATCTCATCAGGGTGTTTCAAAACCATAAATGCGGTTGTTACAAACTGACAAATCCAAATAGATTTCATTATTTTTCGAGAAACAAATTAATGGGCAAATTCTTGTTTTTATTTTTATTTGTAGTTTTTTTTTTGTTTTAGGATTTTTGTTGGCGTATCTGCTCATTATCCTTCTTTTACTTCTCTGTTTTCGCTTTTTTGGAATCCTCTTCTCTACCTTTTGTAAATCTCTTTTTCCTCTTTCTCTTCTTTTTCTTCTCTTTCTTCTCCTTCTTCCACTTCTTCTTGCTCTATTTATTTTTCATTTACTATTTATCTTTGTCAATATCTTCCTTATTCCCTTTTTTCTTTCCTTCTTCCTTTTTGATAATTTCCCTGTAATCTTTACAATCTTATATACTCTTTTTTCTTCCTCCAGGGTTGCCACAAAAATTTAATTTTCTTTTCCCTTATTTCCAGACAAAATTTCGACTTTTTCCATGACCCTAAAGAATATTCTAATTCACTTTAAAAATGATGAGATACTGAAAAAATTCTATCGCACATTTACGAATATCTTTAATTGTAAAATTATTCGAAAACTTCAATGACTTAACTTCTTTCTTAATCATTATTATTTTTTCAAAGAAAACAAGATTTCAAAAATTTCAATTTCAAACCTTTTGAAATTCAATAACTTTTGAAAGAATATAAATAGAATTATTATAAAACATGAAGAAATGGATCACTCCGAGTCTTCGACTCGTGATCCATTTCTTCAAGTTTTATAATAATTCAAGGTGACCGAGTGATAAAATCATTATTTTATATAATATAAAAATATTGTTACTGTAACTTCTTAAAATTTATTTTCATCGTTTCAATTCAATTATTATTT